GGATTGCTTCCCATGTTGGAACTTTCTCTCCTTTGTAATTCTATCTATTGTTATTACCAGGCACTTTGTCTTATTTATGTGATCCCTTTGACTAATGGTCCTATCTATATGATCAATTCCATACTTAATATGATCACTTTATGGGAGTAGTGCCACCCAACTAAATGGGATTTGGAGTCCCATGGCAAGTTTTTAGCTTCACCCTTAGGGGTAAGTCTGTGGGAATGTGTGCTGATCTGTACAACTCTTCTTCACTCTCTCATTCCCACTCTTATTTTTAATGGGGATCTATTTTCAATGGACTTATATGATTAATTCTATGTTAAGTAATGAGTTCAACCAATGGTATTAAGTAGAGAAAAATGAATAAAAATAAATAAATAAAATGAAATAGTAAACTGTTCCTCAACAGTCAAGACAAAGGCTATTCAAGTAATTGCTCTTCATAGTGTCAGTTTCACTTCTGCAGGTCTCCTTTTAGGTGCTCTGTTAGTTGTCAAAGATCAGGGAGAACGTATGGTATTTATTCCTTTGGGACTGGCTTATTTCACTAAGTATGATATTTTCCAGATTCATCCATTTGGCTGTGAATGACCGGATTTTGCTTTTTTTTTAATCGTTGTGTAGTATTCCATAGAGTACATATCCCATAATTTCTTTATCCAGTCTTCCGTTGATGGGCAGTTAGATTGATTCCATGTCTTGGCTATTGTGAATTGAGCTGCAATAAACATGGAGGTGCAAATTACTCTTTTATTTGCTGATTTCATTTCCTTTGGGTAAATTCCTAGGAGAGGGATGGCTGGGTCATATAGTAAGACTAGATTCAGATTTCTGAGGTATCTCTAAACTGTCTTACATAGTGGCTTTACGAGTTTGCATTCCCACCAACAATGGATTAGGGTATTTTTTTCCACACATCCTTGCCAGCATTTGTTGTTTTTTGATTTCTGTACGAAAGCCATTCTAACTGGGGTGAAGTGAAACAACATTGTAGTTTTGATTTGCATCTCCCTGATGGCTAGTGATCCTGAGAATTCTTTCATGTGTCTGTAGGCATTTGGATTTCCTTTTTTGAGAAATGTGTATTTAAGTCCATTTCTTGACTAGGTTGTTTGCTTTGGATTGTTAAATTTTTTGATCACTTTATATATTCTGGTTACTAATCCTTAATCAGTTGCATGGTTTGCAAGTAATTTCTCCCATTCTGTTGGTTGCATCTTTATTTCATGAATGTTTCTTTTGCTATACGGAAGCTTCTCAATTTGATGTAATCTCACTTTTTAATCTTGGTTTTATTACCTTTGCCTCTGGGGTCTTTTCCAAGAACTGTGTGTCTAGGCTGATGCCTTGCAGTGTTTCCCCAATGCTCTCTAGTAATTTAATGGTATTGGATCATAGATTTAGGTCTTTAATCCATTTTGAATGGACTTTTGTGTAAGGTGTAAGGTAGGGGTCTCGCTTCATATTTCTGCAGGTGGAAATCCAGTTTTCCCAGCAACGTTTGTTGAAGAGACTGTCATTGTTCCAGGGAATGGTTTTAGCTCCTTGGTCGAATATAAGTTGGTTGTAAATGCTTGGATTGATTTTTTGTGTTTCTATTATGTTCCATTGGTCTATCTATCTGCTTTTGTACCAGTGCCAAGCTGTTTTGATTATAAATGCTTTGTAGTATGTCTTGAAATCTGGTATTGTTATGGATCTGGCTTTATTTTTGTTTTATAAGATTGCTTTAGCTATCTGAGGCCTCTTATGTTTCCAAATGAATTTCAGCATCATCATTTTTTCTAGATCTGAGAAGAATGTCTTGGGCATTTTGATTGGTATTGCATTGAATCTATAAATTATTTTCAAAATAATGGACATTTTGATGATGTTGATTCTTCCGATCCATGAACATGGAAGTTTTTCCATTTTTTTATGTCTTCTTCCATTTCTTTCTTTAGAGTTTTATAATTCTCATCATAGAGATCTTTGGCTTCCTTGGTTAAATTTATTCCGAGGTATTTAATTTTTTTCTAGCTATTGTGAATGGGAATGATCTTAGAAGTTCTTTCTCAAGCATGGCAATGTCTGTGTATACAAAGGTTGTTGTTTTTTGGGTGTTGATTTTATATCTTGCTATTTTACTGAACTCTTTTATGAGTTCTGGTAGTCTCCTAGTGGAGTCTTTTGGTTCCCTTATATATATATATATATAATCATATCATCTGCAAATAAGGATAGTTTAACTTCATCCTTACTGATCTGAATCCCTTTGATTTCTTTTTTCGCCTAATGGCTCTGGCTAAAACTTCCAGGACTGTATTGAATAGCAATGGAGATACTGGGCATCCTTGTCTGGTTCCAGATCTCAGTGGGAATGCTTCCAGTTTTTCCCCATTCAATACGATGATGGCCATGGGTTTGTCATAAATTGCTTTAATTATATTGAGGAATGTTCCTTCTACACCAAATTTGCTTAGAGTTTTCATCATGAAAGGGTGTTGTATTTTATCAAATGCTTTCTCTGCATCAATTGAGATAATCATATGGTTTTTGTTCTTCAATTTGTTAATGTGATGTATCACATTGATTGATTTGTGAATGCTGAACCATCCCTGCATATCAATTATAAATCCCACTTGGTCTGAGTGAATGATATTCCTGATGTGTTGTTGAATTCAATTGGCCAGGATTTTATTGACATTTATAGGATTTTTGCATGTTCAGGGAAATCACTCTATAGTTTTCTTTCTCTGTTGCATCTTTTCCAGATTAGGTATTAAGGTGATGCTGGCTTCATAGAAGGAATTTTAAAGGATTCCTTCCCTTTCAATTGTTTTAAATAGCTTGAGAAGAATTGGAGTAAGTTTTTCTTTAAATGTTTGGTAGAAGTCAACAGTGAATCCATCTGGTCCTGGGCTTTTCTTAGTTGGGAGAGTGTTTATTACTGATTCAATTTCTGTCTCAGTTATGAGTCTGTTTAGGTTTTCTGTGTCTTCATAGCTCAATTTAGGTAGGTTGTGTGTGTCCAGGAATCTATCCATTCCCCAGTTGGTTGGCATACAGCTCTTTGTAGTAATTTCTGAGGATTCTTTTTATTTATGTGGTGTCTGTTGTTACATTTCCTTTTTAATCTCTAATTCTATTGATTTACATCTTTTCTCTCCTTCTTTTTTTTTTTTTTTTGGTTAGTTGGACCAATGGTGTGTCAGTTTTGTTTATTTTTTCTTTTTTTTAAAGATTACTTATTTATTTATTTGAGAGGTAGAGTTACAGACAGTGAGAGGTAGAGACAGAGAGAAAGGTCTTCGTTCCACTGGTTCACTCCCCAAATGGCCGTTATGGCCAGATCTGCACTGATCTGAAGCCAGGAGCCAGGTGCTTCTTCCTGGTCTCCCATGTGGGTACAAGGGCTCCTATGACTTGGGCCATCTTCTACTGCTTTCCCAGGCCACACACAGCAGAGGGCTGGATTGGAAGAGGAGCAGCTGGGACGCAAACCGGTGCCCAACTGGGATGCCAGCATCGCAGGTGGAGGATTAACCCACTGTACCATGGTGCTGGCCCTTGTTTATTTTTTCAGAAAACCTGCTGTTCACTTTGCTGATCTTTTGTAATTTTTTTGCTTCAATTTTGTTGCTTTATTCTCTAATTTTAAGCATTTCTTTCCTTCTACTGGTTTTGAATTTAATTTGCTGTTTTCTTTTTCTAGGTCCTTGAGATGCATAGATAGTTCATTTATTTGGTGCCTGTCCAGTTTCTTGATTTAGGCACTAATTGTATAAACTTTCTTCTTAACACTGCTTTTGCTGTATCCCGCAAATTTTGGTATATTGTATTGTCATCTTCATTTGTTTCCAGAAATCTTTTAATTTCTTCTATGATCCGCTTTTCATTTAGTAGCATGTTGCATATGATGTAAGGATTCTTTAGTTGCTGATTTCCAGCTTCATTGCATTGTGGTCTGAGAAGATGCGTGGTATTAATTCGATTGTTTTGAATTTGCTCAGACTTGCTTTATGGCTTAGCATGTGATCAATCCTAGATAAAGTTCCATGTACCAGAGAGAAATATATGTGCTCTTTGGCTGTTGAGTGGAAGATTCTGTAGATATCTGTTAGGTCTATTTGGTCTATAATGTCGATTAACTGTGTTGTTTCCTTACTGATTTTCCGTTTCATTAATATGTCCATTGCTGAGAGTGGAGTATTGAAGTCCCTCATTACTATTGTATTTGGATCTATATCTTCCTTTAAATCCTTTAACTTTCTTTTAAATAGCCAGGTGCCCAGTGGTTGGGTGCCTATACATTTATAATGGTCGCATCTTCCTATTGAATTGATTCTTTGATAATTACACAGTGTCCTTCTTTGTCTCTCTTGATGGTTTTTGTGTTAAAGTCCATTTTGTCTGATATTAAGATGGCCTCACCAACTCTTTTTTGGTTTCTGTTGGCATGGGATATCTTTTTCTATCCTTTCACTTTCAGTCTGTGAGCATCTTTGTTGGTAAAATGTATTTCTTATAGGCAGTAAATAGATGGGTTTTCTTTTTTAATCCATTCAGCCAGTCTGTGTCTTTTAATTGGGGAGCTGAGACCATTTACATTCAGTGTTACTATTGTTAAGTACCAACTTTGCCCTGCCATATTTCTGTAAGTAGTTCTGTTTATGTGCTTTAGATTTCATTAGTTCTTTCTCTGGGTAATTATCTGCTTTTCCAGTGATGTTCCTGTTTCTGTGTTTGTGTGTAGCACGTGTTTGAGCATGTTTCCTAGGGCTGGGTGTGTGCTTACAAATTCTTTCAATTTCTGTTTGCTGTGGAAGATCCTTATTTCTCTTTTATTCATAAAATGAGAGTTTTGCAGGGTAGAGTAATCTAGGTTGACAGTTTTTTTCTCTTCGGACTTGGAGTTATGTCTTACCATTCTCTCCTTGCCTATGGGGTTTGTGATGAGAAGTCTGGGATGAGTTTAATCGGGTTTCCTCTGAATTTGAGTTGGTGTTTCTCTCGGGCACATTTTAGGATCTTTATGTATTACTGAGGAGAGCTTTGCCACTATGTGTCTAGGTAAGGCTCTTTTCTGGTCCTGTCTATTGGGAGTTCTGTGCACTTCCTGAACTTGGATGCCTCTATCTTTCTCCATCCAGAAGGGAGAAGTGCTCTGCTATTATTTCATTAAGAAGGCCTTTTAAAACTTTCTCTGTTTCGATGTCTTCTGGAATTTCCTAGGATCCATATGATGGATCCTGTCAATTAAATTTAACCCGTCAATTCTGTCCACTTCCCTCAGCATCCCTTGTAATCACCATCATATTCTTAACTTCTATGAGATCACCCATTAATCTTTATTCCACAAATGACTGAGATTATGTGAAACTTATTTTTCCATGTGTTCTTCACAGTTCTGGAGGCTGGAAGTCCAGCATTAGGGTGTTCACATGCTTGAATTCTTGTGAAGGCCCACTTGTGAGCTTCATACTGAGGACTTCTTCACATATCTTCAGAGAGAAGCAAGCTTTCTTGGGGCTCTTAGAAGGACACTAATCCCTGGGGCTGACATTGTGGTGCAGCAGATTAAGCCTCCATCTGTGACATTGGCATCCCATATTTGAGTGTTAATTGAAGTCCCAGCTGCTCCAAAGTTTACTATCAAAGTTTATTAGGAAAATTTATTATGTACCTTTTTTATTTATTGAAATCTGTGTTTCCCAAACTTCATAATTTGATTTACTTCTCTAAGGGTTTGCTTTAGTCATGTATTACCTATATTACTTCCCTTCAATTACTTCCCATTATTCTTTTAATGTCTCCAACTAATAATGTCCATAAAAATCATAGATTTGGTGTGCTAACTATATTTTATAATACAAAACAAAATAAACACCTGTCATGTACCACCATTTTTCAAATACAAAAAATAAAATATACATTATAACTTGGGATATACTGAAACTTAAACCTCTAAGATTATTCTACTGGGGCCTTCTCTAAGTATGTCTATGTAATTACATAATTATTCTTTCAAAAGAAAAGGTAGATTTTACCAATGAAAGAAATGTATATAAGTCATAGGCCACTCTCTTCTTTGTCAAGACCATCAATGATTCAGAACAAATGTAGCAACTCTGTTTTCTAGGAAATGGCTTACTGCTTTCTCAAGGATGAAAGTGGAGGACGTGAAGAGCTATTAGCATCCATAAATCATTGTTGTTGAGTCTGTGGAGGATAGCAGTTTTGTTATTGAACCATATTCCTTAGATTGTCAATTTCATAAAGGATAAAAGATTAAATAATAAGCTATTATTTTTTGCATTTTTTAACATTTATTTAATGAATATAAATTTCCAAAGTACAACTTATGGATTACAATGGCTTCTCCCCCCATTAACGTCCCTTCCACCTGCAACCCTCCCCTTTCCCAATCCCTCTCCCCTTCCATTCACATCAAGATTCATTTTCGATTCTCTTTATATACAGAAGATCAGTTTAGCATACATTAAGTAAAGATTTCAACAGTTTGCTCCCACACAGAAACATAAAGTGAAAAATATTGTTTGAGTACTAGTTCTAGCATTAAATCTCAATGTACAGCACACTAAGGACAGAGATCCTACATGAGGATTAAGTGCACAGTGACTCCTGTTGTTGACTTAACAAATTGACACTCTTGTTGATGGCCTCAGTAATCACCCTAGGCTCTTGTCATGAGTTTCCAAGGCTATGGAAGCCCCCTGAGTTCACTGACTCTGATCATATTTAGACAAGTCCATGGTCAAAGTGGAAGTTCTCTCCTCCCTTCAGAGAAAGGTACCTCCTTCTGTGATGACCCATTCTTTCCACTGGGATCTCACCTGCGGATTTTTTTTTCCCCAGAGTGTCTTGGCTTTCCATGCCTGAAATACTCTCATGGGCATAATAAGCTATTCTTAAAATAAATAAAATTAAATAAAACTAATGGGATTAAAGAAAAAAGCTTATGGAAGTGTGAATATGCTGTAATAGAAAAGAACAAGATCTGGAATTTGGAATGAGAGAAGTAAAGCTCTTCACAAATGCTTGTGTGACTGAAGTAATGAAAGTGACTTTTTTTTAAAAGATTTTTTCTATTTATTTGAGAGGCAGAGTTATAGACAGAGAGAGAGGGAGAGACAGAGAGGAAGGTCTTCCATTCATTTGTTTGTTCCCCAAATGGCTGCAGTGGCCAGAGCTGGGCCAATCTGAAGCCAGGAGCAAGGAGCTTCTTCTGGATCTCCCACGTGGGTACAATGGCCCAAGCACTTGGGCCATCTCCTACTGTTTTCTCAAACCATTAGCAAGGAGCTGGATTGGGGGTGGAGCAGCTGGTACCCAAATGGGAGGCCAGCACCGCAGGTGGGGGCTTAATCTACTACTCCACAGTGCTGGCTCCAGAAAGTGACTTCTTAGGGAAGATATCTCTTGGTCTTAAATTAGGGGAAGGAGACCCTTGACATCTCTGAGATCAGAAAAGGTATGGTTTAAATATCTGCAGGGCTTCAGAAAAGCATTCTGCCAAATGGGATAAACAAAGGGGCACTCAAGGTGTTCCCTAGTACTATCTCCTAAGACTGTTTAGAGGAGCATACCATCAGCAAAACAAGACTCAACATCCAGTGTCAAGACCCTACACAATTTACTTACCATTCTGGGACTGGCATCCTATCCTCATCATCCAGCAAGATTCAATCTATTTTGGAACAAAATTAGAAAGTGTATTTAATAAACAAAAATATATCTGCACAAGTTATCCTGTGGTTCTACTGAAAGTCTCAATGCAATGTCAAACTGGGTGAAATAATCATGGACCTACTTCCAAATTACTTCAAGCTTGCTTTGTATTAATTTTTAGAACTGATTTATGTTATAGAACAATTTATTAGAAGCATAATTCTCACAGCCTCCCTCTACCCTACCCATGATTCCTTCTATATCCTCTTGATAAGTATGATTAATTTGTCACAATTGATGAACCAGTACCGATATACTGTTATAACTGAAGTCCACAGTTAACATTAGGTTTTATCTTCTGTTTTACAGTTCTATGAATTTTGAAAATGTTATGTATCAAACATTGTAAATATCATTCAGAATTTTTCACCACCATAAAAATTCCCTGTGTTCTGCCTGTTCATATTGTTCCTCTCTGCCTAGATCCTGACCACCACTGAATTATTATTGTCTCCATAGTTTTACTTTTGCTAGAAGGTCATATAGTTCAAATTAGATAGCAGTTAGCCTTTTCAGCTTGGCTTTTTCACTTAGCAACCTGCACTTGAGTTTCCTCCATGTCTTTTGTGGCTTGGTTATTTATTTATTTTTGTTTCTGAAAAATATTCCATTGAAAAGATATATCACAGTTCATTTGTTGGTTCACTAGGAAAGGACATGTGGTCGATTCAAACTTTTGGCAATTGTGAATACATTTGCTAGAAATATTCATGGACAAGTATTTTTGGACATAAGTTTCCAACTCATTTGCTTACCTAGGAATGTGATTGTTGGATCATATGTTAAAACTACGTTTAGCTTTGTAAGAAATGACAAACTGTCTTTTTTAAAGTGGCTGTACCATTTAAAATTTATCACTGTCTCATCTTGGCCTTTTATTTATTTCGCAGTGACCATGGTTCTCCACACAGCCAGAATCCCACCTTTACTCCCTTTCCAAAAGCACTTGTAGCTCTCACCAGTGAACATTCAGGGAGTATTTATTGTCCACAATTAACATTCACATAAAATTTTCATTCCATTTTGACAATTCTCTGATGAGGGTTTATTTCCCACAGCTTGATGAAACCAAGATATAGCTAAAATTCATACAGCTGGTCATTGGTAGAGATGGACTGGACATTTCTCAACCATTACAAGTCTCATCTGCAATAAGGAAGAATACCTATAACTAGCTGGACAATATTTGCCTTTTAAAACTTTTTTTTACTGTTCTTTAAGTAGAACAAGGAAGAAATGATTATCCTTTATGAATCTAGAGAAAAGTGATAAAAAGAATATGACCCGTAAGGATTGTTTGCTCAGCTTCATTATGCACAGAAAAATGTTATAAAATGTTTAAACCATTTTCTATTTCATCTATAATAAAGACAGTTCATTCAACTAAATACAAGTAAATACTGAAATTAGAGTTAATATTTGAAATAGAATAAGATTAAGCCTCCTTCAGTACAAATCATGCATTATGTTTTCTTTAAATGGGTCCATATTCACATTCTATGATCCTTTCTCTTGTTTCCTTGGAATGTCCCCAAACCCACCCAGTGATTTCTGGCCATTGTGTAGATTTTTGAGTGCATTCAACATATTATTCTCAAGTGATGCATTATTTGGAAATGATGAACTGGTTTTCTTGCCTTTTCCTTCTCCTGCCATCCAAATATATTCCCTCGATATCAGTGAAGTACAAATTTATAAATGTCTCCGTCCAGCACCTATATTAGTTTTCGAAGACTTCCTTAACAAAATACAGCCAACCGGGTGCTCAAAATAACAGAAATGTATTATTTCACAATCAAGGAAGCCAGAAATCTGATATCAAGGTGGGAGAATCCTTTCTTGCCTCGTCCTAGCTTCCAGTAGTTTGTCATCAATCTTTGATCCTCCTTGGCTTATAGCTTCAGTACTCCAGTCTCTGCTTTTTTCATGGCTTTCTACTTGTAGCAGTGTTTTTTTTTAAAAAAAAAAAAAAACAAAACAAAACTCTGGGGCCAGCACTGTGATATAGTGTATAGTGGGTGAAGCCACTCCATGCAGTGCTGGCATCCCATATATGTGCCAGTTCAAGTCCCAGCTGTTCGACTTCTGATCCAGTTCTCTGCTGTGGCCTGGGAAAGTATCAGAAGATGGCCCAAGTCTTTGGGCCCCTGCAACTGAGTCCTGGCTTCAGATCAGCTCAGCTTCAGCTGTTGCAGTAATTTGGGGAGTGAACTTGAGGATATAAAACTTCTCTCTCTCTCTCTCTCTCTCTCCATGCCTCTGCATCTCTGTAATCTTTGTAAACCTTTCAAATAAATAAATGAGTCTTAAAAAAAGAAAATCTGTTGTACTCCTATTAAATTATGAACCCACACTACTCCAATATGACCTCATCTTAGCTAATTATGTCTGCAACAACCTTATTTCCAAATAAGGTTACATTCTGAGGTCCTGAAGATTAGAGCGTCACCTTAGCTTTTGGGGAAGGGGAGCACAGATAGTCTCTTTTTCTTTACTCTGAGAACAACACTTTTCTTCATATGGAACATTGTTCTTTACTTATTTACATTATCTAATTCTAGCACATGTGTCTAGCCTCAATATTGGTACCAAGTACTCAATACTCAGTCAAAAGTGGTTGGAACAGAGGTTCAATATCCATCACAATCCTTTCTTGGTATTAAAAATAGATTCAGAGAAAATATTTAGCTCTTTTGGTACTAAAAGGCATGTGAAATATCAGACATACTGCCAACAGTTTCAGACTCATGGGTGAAAGCTGTCTCAGAAAAAATCAACAAGCAGAGCATAGCAGACACAACAGACATGAGAGAATCCCTTTGGCTGCAAGTATTTTAAATTTTTGGCTTCAGTTAATTTTAGTAGTTGGGACCATAGCTGTGTCACAGCAGGTTAAGCCATGGCCTGCAGTGCTGGCATCCCATATAGGTGCCAGTTTGAGGCCTGGCTGGTCCACTTCCGATACAGCTCCTTGCTAGCGTGCCTGAGAAAGCAGTGGAAGATGGCCCACATGGAAAACCTGGATGAAATTCCTGGCTCTTGGTTTGGCCTGGCCCAGTCCTGGTCATTACAGCCATCTGGGACATGAACCAACAAATGGAAAATCTCTCTCTCTCTCTCTCTCTCTCTGTTTGTCTCTTCTTCTCTCTGCAACTCTACCTTTCAAATAAATAAATAAATCTTTAACAAAAATAAATTTGAGGAGTTATATTTTATTTGCAAAACAAAACAAAGCAAAAGAACAACATAATAAAATTATCAAAGGATGTTTACCCTTCAGAGTTGGCCAGTTGCAATTATGAACATGATCTTCATGATGCAGAGCCAAGGAATTGTTTTAGAAAAAAATAAGTAAAAAAAAATAGTAGAACAAACTGGTCTTTCTATGACCTGATACCATCAAATTACTAGAAGAAAACATTGGAGAAACTCTGCAAGATATTGGCATAGGCAAATACTTCTTGGAAAAGGTCTCAGAAACACAGACAATGAAACAAAAATAGACAAATGGTTTTGCATCAAGCTAAGAAGCTTATGTACTACAAAAGAAACACTCAGCAAAGTGAAGAAGCAACCAACAGAATAGGAGAAAATATCTTCAAATTATGAAATTGAAAAAGGATTAATATACAGAATCTATAAAGAGTTCAAGAAACTCTACAACAAGACAAACAATCCAGTTAAAAAATGGGCAAAGGACTTGAACAGGCATTTTCCAAAAAAAGGAAATCCAAATGGCCAACAGACACATGAGAAAATGCTCAGGATCACTAGTCATCAGGGAAATGCAAAACAAAACCACAATGAGGTTTTATCTCATCCCAGTCAAAATTACTTTCATACAGAAATCAACAAACAATAAATGCTGGTGAGGATGTGGGGCAAAAGTTACCCTAATCCACCGTTGGTGGTGATATAAACTGATACAGCCATTGTGGAAGACAGTATGGAGATACTTCAGAAATCTGAAAATACATCTACCTTATGAGCCAGCAATCCCACTCCTGGGAATTTACCCAAAGAAAATGGATTAAGTGTATTAAAGAGTTATTTGTATACCCCATGTTCATCGCGGCTCAATTCACAACAGGAGAACATTAGCTCTATTTACTCTGAAAGTAGAACAAAGTACAAAATTGGTATTGATGTCCCTTTTATGATTAAGAAGAACATTCTCAGTGACATGAGAAAAATTTTAGTCTTAATGAAAACTAAGCATGATGATTTAAAGATTAGAGGAAAAAGCCAAACTGAGAGGGGATTTAGATGAAATTAAAAGTACTTAGTTGAGATAAGCAATCCTAGAAAATAAATTTGTAGTTATTGAATTAAAGTCCCTACTAAAAAAAGAAAGGAGTGAGATAGAAGACAGATTTTAAAGGCTTTTTCAGGAAGTAGGCATTTGGCATAGTGGTTAAAATGTTAGTTGGGATACCTGTGTTCCATGTTGAAGTATCTGGGGATACAGTTCCATTCCCAAATCCAGTTTCCTCCTACTATGAACCCTGGGAAGCAGCAAATGCTGGCTCAAATTGTTAGTTCCCTGTCACCACCTTGGGAGACATAGATTGTGTTCTTTATTCTCATGTTCAGTCTGGCTCATCTGTCAAGTTGCAATCATTTGGAGGAATGCCAGAAGACAGGAGTCCTGTCTGTGTCTATCAATCTCTCTTTCACTATCTATCTTTCAAAGAAAAAAAAAGAAGAGAAAGGAAAGAGAAATGAAACAAAAATAATAGAGAGGATAATGAATACAGAAAACAGATACTAATTATCCAATTATTATTTTATTATTTTTAATAACTCATTTCTGAGATTGAAAAAAATAGAAGAGAAGCAAAATCAGTCTTTCTTTTTATTTGTGGGACAAGAAAACTCATGCAGAAAATAGTGCTATAAGAAAACCGGCAATCTTTTCAAAAAGGAAGATTGGAACAATGTGATCTAATTGAACTGAAG